GGGTTTGATACTCATGATTGGTATTGTTAAGTTGTTTGATGTTGAGTTATTTTGGAAATGATTTACTATGTTTATGAAGAAAGGGAGGAAAGCCCTAGTTTGTTATTATTGATATAATGGATTTAAAAAGTGGAGGGAGTTGAATAATCTTTATATCTTGCTAATATGGGTTGGTTAATTGTGTTCATATCCAAAGAAAACAAAAGAGAAGTAACCACGGTGTTGGTATTGTTTCAGACTAATCACGTGATGTTGAGTTGAGTTATGGTTTTGGTACTATGGAATTGATTTTGTAAAATAAAGGTGATGGATTTGGTTTTGGTTTTGATTTTGTAAAATGATGAGAATGAATTTTTAGAAAATGGTTGAGGTTGTGTGGTTCGGAAAATAATGGAAAGTGGTCTTTTGAAGGAAAATGAAATCATCACCCTTTGTAAATTGATAATGAACTTGAGGTTGGATTTTGGAATTTCTTCACATATTATTTTTACTATTGGACTGAAAGTCTAGTGAGAATTGGGTTTGTTTTCCTTTCGTGTGAAATGTAGATATGGATGGATATGAATTTAAATGGTGGGGTTGGATATTTGAAATATCTCACCTATGAAAGTATGGATAGTTTATCTATTTGGAAATTATATATATATATATATATATGGATAGTTTATCTATTTGGAAATCATATATACATATATATATATATATGTTTAGAAATATATGTTTTGGGTTATCGGTGGAGGATAGTCATGATTGTTGTAGAAACTACATGATGATTAAGTGAATTGAAACTAATCATTTGGAATATGTCATTGAATATGATAGTAGGAAGAACACATTGAATATGTGCCTTTATTGATCATAGTACAAGATAAAGAGTTTAATACATTGTATCTGTACCTTCGTTTGAGAGGAGATAGGGGATGTACTCCATACATGTGATTATATGCTTTAATACATTGTATATGTATATTGTTTGGGAGGAGATAGGGGATGTACTCTATATGTGCATATTTGCCTTAATACATTGCATATGTACCTTTGTTTGGGAGGAGATAGGGGATGTAATCTATACGTGTGATTATATGCTTTATTACATTGTATATGTATCCATGGTTTGAGAGGAGATAGGGGATGGACTCTCAAACCTGTTTGGGAGGAGATAGGGGATGGACTCCACTGATACAGCAAATCTGTGTATCACTTGAAATATGGAAGTGTTGAAGTATGGAAGTGTTTTAATATGAGTTATATTCTTATGTGAATTGTGAACTATGAAAGTGTTTTAATATGTGTTATAGTCTCATTGAATTGTTTGGCTAGGTTCTAAGCCATAGTTATGAATCGAAACTGTATAAGTGAAGGAAACTGAAATGAAAAATGGATGTACTTGATGTTGAATTGAAAAGTGTTGTAAGTTGGTTTATAAGTGTCAACCATATATCAAATGCTATTGTTTTAGTTATTTCTCATAACGAGTAACATGAAGAAAGAAAAGTAAATTGCTAATGTTGTTGAATGAAAAGAATGTTTTTGAGAAAAGTTCCTATATAAGTATATTAGAGTATAAACCGTCACATTATGTATATGATATGATTTGATGCATTTATGATCATAGCTATCTGTATGTTGCTATTGTTTAGGATCATGTTGAGATCCCTACTGGACTTTATGTTCATCCCACGTTGCTAATCCTTTTTCAGGTGAACGTCGAGAGGTGTTTCAAGATTGAGGATCTTCTTTATGTGTTGGCCACGGGGCCTTTTATTTGTAGGTGGAATGCCATTGGTGTAAAAGGGTTAAACCTTTTCTTTTAGTGTTAAAGATGTAAGCCTGCGGGTGATTTATTTAGTTATGTACATGTTGCATTTTCGAATGAGAGAATCTTTATTTATTCTTACAAATGATGTAAAGAGTTTCCACATGTTATCTCTGTAATTGAATAAACTTAATGAATTTGGTAAGGGACTCTGAGTAATAAAATGTGGGGCGTGACAGACCTTGTGTTGGCTATGTCCACTGCCAAACGTAGGAAGTCCACAGTGTCTCGCCCCTCGTATAACATCGACAGATTTCCATCTGCCGATAAAGCCAAGTCTTTTAGAGAGTCGTTCTCCTCTAAGACAGTTTATCTAGAACGCCATGTCCAGCCAAATACTTTTGAGGCCATTCCTATTCGACCATTGTTTGATCCATTAGAAGGTGACTTAGTTTTGTCCTTATCCGGCCGCCAAAACCTTGATTGGGTCAGCGAGTTTTATTGTAACATTGAGGGTATTGATGATATTGGCCCTTCCTTCCAGTTCTAAGTCTATCTCTGTTACCCCTGATCTTATTAGAGAGCTCTTAGGCATTGACCGTGTTTTTTCAGAGCACTATCTTTTCCCTGTCCGACCCACATGTGACTTTAACGAGGTGGCCACTACCTTGTGTGGTACGCCTCGTAGTTGGATCAAGGGTGCTCTGATTAAACATTTTGAACTCCTTCTCCAGTTTCGTCTGCTCAATCTTATTGTCTGTGCAAATATCATCTTCACCACTCATTGTTTTGAAATCAATCAAGAACAAGGTTTTGTTCTCTTTTACATAGCTCGCTATCTCTCCATTAACCTTGCCACCTTTATCCTTTGCAAAATGATTGCCGTTTTTGGGAACAAATAGTTAGGGTTGCCCTGTGGTTGTTTGATTAACCGCCTTCTGTCTCATCTTGAGGTCCCTATTTATGAGGATAATGAGTTTGCCTTCCCTATTAAACCTTTCACCAAAAAGACCGTCTCTCAGAGTCGGGCACATGTTAAGGGGGAGTCTTCTAAGGCAGGGTCCATCTTCTGCAGGTGATGATGATCTTTTGGCTGAGGAGGCTGAGTTTGATGTCGCCACAGTAGGAGTCGAGCTTTAAGTAATCCATGACTGCTTATTTTCATATTTGGTTTAGAATTGCTTGTTTTCATTTTTAATTTTTGGATACTTGTTTCATTTGGTTTAGAACTGCTACAGTTGGATTTTTGAGCTTTCATGTCTCATGTACATTGGTTGCTTTTTATTATCTTATTGAGTTCCACAGTTTTGGTTTTTGTGGTATGTTGCTCATTGTTTCACAGGTGGATGGTTCTATATTGTTCAAAATGGTTTTTGTGATGGATGGTTCAACATTGTTCAAAATGGTTCTCTATAAAATCAACATTTGTGTTTTTGCAGCAGTGTTTTTTTGTGTCTGATAGGTTGTGTTAGTGAGTGTGTCTAGTGCATGTGTTTTTTAGGAAAAATTGTTAGAAAATTTTTGTCCGAGAATTGACAAAGGGGGAGATTGTTAGGTCTCTAGTTGCCAATTTCGCGAATAAACTCAGTTTAATAGAGTTGTAATTTTTCCTTGGTTTTGGTCTTTCTGCTCGAGCGGGAATATTTGCGCTCGAGCGGAGTTTGCACCGTCTCAGTAGTTTGGCTTGTCTGCACAAATACTGGGAAGTGTGTTTTTGCGCTCAAGCGTGAGTTCCAGCGCTTGAGCAGAGACTTGTTTTAATCGCATGCGTTTTAGTGACTCCTCTCAAGCGGCAAGTTCTGCGCTCGAGCGAGGTACGTTTTCTGTATATATGTGTTTAATTCTTTTTTTAGGGTTAAGGCTTCTAGATATGTTTTGGTAGCTCTAGGATTTTCTTTAGAAGCTATTTTTCTAATTTTACTTTGATGTTTTCTTAAGTATTAAACTCACATGGTTTGATAATTCACATTAAAGGGTTGTTTGAGTGATCATCTTCGAGAGCGTTCTTCTTCGGTAGAATTCAGAGATTCAAGCGTGGAGTATTCAAAGGTGTTCGAAGCTGTGCGCAGTCGTTAAGTCGATGTGGATGTTGTGGAAACAACATCAATCTAATCAATCTTGAGACAAAGGTTGCAGTAGAAGATATACAAAGCGTTAAAGACAAATTGACAAAGTTTGAGTATTTTGTATTTTTTCTTTCCTTCATAGTGGGTTGATTTGTGGCGTTTCACCCATGGTTTTTTTAATTACAATTAGAGGTGCTCTAATAGTGATTTTCCACGTAAAAAATTGTGTGTGTCTATTTATTGTTTCTGAAACAACAATCTAAATCACTTTCGTACGTGTTTGATGATTTAGGTTGTTAGTTTTAATTATTTGAAAATTGGTACAATTAAATCTTGATCTAATCACAAATCACTTAGGTTTTTTAAGTTGTGTGCGAGAAAGAAGTGTACTATTTTGGAGGATTTATAATGGTCTTCAATGGAGGTTCAATGAAGGTCTTTTATACAAGTCTTTAATGGAGGAAATTTAATTTTGGACCAAAGTCTTCTTCAAGGGCGTAGGTGGGTCAATGTGGAAGTATGGTTAATCAAAAGTGTGTAGAAAAGAGGATCAATGGTGTATGTATAATGGTTATAAGTGAATGGTGTAATTGTAATTTTAAGTGTGTGGATTGAGAAAATTAATTAATAATGAAAATAATAGGTGTTTATATTGAGAAAAGATACACATTGAGCTAATTAGTGTGAAAATAGAATTTTTCCAAACAAACATAAGATTCATATCTTATTTTCTTGATATCTAATCTTATAATTAAATAAACATGTAATACATATTCTATCCAATTAAACAATCCTAAAATTATAAATTCTAAAATTACAATTGCATAGATTCTAATATTCTTTATCAAATTTGTTTAAACAAACACAACCTAGTATATAATTGATCCTAAATTATAAATTTGGAAAAAGCAGCCTGGCGTTAAACGGCAACGTTATTACGCACCTACCACCAAAAACAACCGTCATACTTCCGTCTCCAATTCAAATTTCAAAATTCACCACTCAACTTCACCGTTGTCTTTGTATCCGTTAAAGGCCCTCGAAATCCGCATATCTACCTGTCTCTCTCTCTCTCTCATCAATTCCTACACCCCCAATTCAAAATTCAAACCGTTACTCTCTCACGCGCGCACACACACATTATTATTATTATTATAAATACACACATTACATTGCCTTTTCATAATCCATCATCATTATCTCTCAGAACACATCTCTCTCTCTCTCTCTCTCTCCCCCCAAAATCCCCAATCTCTCTCTCTCTAGAAAACAAGCCAAAATGCGTGAAATTCTTCACATTCAGGGAGGCCAATGCGGTAACCAAATCGGATCCAAGTTCTGGGAAGTGGTCTGCGATGAGCACGGCATCGACCCGACGGGTCGCTACCACGGCGACTCGGAGCTCCAGCTGGAGAGGGTGAATGTCTACTACAATGAGGCTAGCTGTGGGCGGTTCGTCCCTCGGGCCGTGCTCATGGATCTGGAGCCTGGAACCATGGACAGCATCAGATCCGGACCTTACGGTCAGATTTTCCGACCCGATAACTTCGTTTTCGGCCAGTCTGGGGCTGGAAACAACTGGGCCAAAGGCCATTATACTGAAGGTGCTGAGTTGATCGATTCTGTTCTCGATGTTGTTCGGAAGGAGGCTGAGAATTGTGATTGCTTGCAAGGTATATATTCATATATAGATTTTTTTTTTGTTTTTTTTTTAAAACCAAATCAAGCTCTTTTAATTAATTTCTTAAATCAAGGGTTTGGATCTTAGATTTGAGGAGTTATTTGTGATGGGAAATGTAAAGTTAAATTTTTTTCGGCTTTTCCTTTCTTTTCTCTTTCCAGATCAGTCTTCAAATTTTAGATCCAAAAACAGTATTAGGTTAGGTTTTGCAATTGCTCTTTTTTTTTTCTTCTTCTTTTTGGGTGTGAATATTTTAGATCTTAGGTTATTTTTGTCTTTAATGATTGATTGATTTTTTTTTTTTTTTTGAATTTTATTTTTTAGTTGTGGATGGTCTTGAAAATTGAAAAGTTTTTCAACACAATTTTTTTTAAAAAAATATTATTACCAAAAAAAAAAAAACGTTTGAAAAGAAAATACATACCTTTCTCAAAGTAAACCAAGTCTTACACATATATATATATTATTATGTGCAGGCTTTCAGGTGTGCCATTCACTGGGAGGAGGGACAGGGTCTGGAATGGGGACGCTTTTGATTTCGAAGATTAGGGAAGAGTACCCGGATCGGATGATGCTCACTTTCTCCGTGTTTCCATCTCCAAAGGTCTCTGATACAGTTGTGGAGCCTTACAATGCTACATTGTCTGTTCATCAGCTTGTGGAGAATGCTGATGAGTGCATGGTTCTTGACAATGAGGCCTTGTATGATATCTGCTTTCGTACCCTCAAGCTCACCACTCCTAGCTGTAAGTTTTCTTTTAAGTCTTTTTTCTTAAGTTTGATTCAATCTTGTTATGATCAATAATTCCATAAAAAACAAATTGAGCATAAAAACAATGTGGTTGCAGAATTCAATAAAAAAAACTACCTTTGTTGCTTTCAGAGAGATTTAAAAAGACTTCTCTAATAGTATATGTGAGCTTTGTTTTGTTTGTCGTTTTAAATGATATGACAATGATGCTTTCAGATTTGCTTTTTCATTGATTAATATGAAAAACAAATGTGATGGGTTGTCATACATTTTTAATTGACAAATGATCTGCCAACATTGCGTTTTGTATTTTTTTTTCCCCATGATCCACGGTTTAGTGTATTGTGCACCAAAACTGATACATATCTCTCCTGAATTATTAATTTTTCTATTAACTACACATATGAATGTGGTTTCACATGGGTGGTAGGGATCACACATATGTGTGCAGTTGGTAAAAAAATATATGTAGCAAAGTTGATTGTGCATTGAGATGGGCGTGGTTTGAGATCATTACGTTATTTTTGGTCTCAATCAATTATGGTCGGTCAAATCAACAAAAATTCCAAAGTGAAATCTTGAATCTCACTTTTGTTAATTTGACCGATCATAATTGGTCGGAACTATAAGTAATGTTGTGATCTTGAACCACAAAAAATGGACTGCTAGGGTCTCACAAATGCTGTGAAAACTTGCTCTGTTACCTAATTTTTCACACAATCATCTGATGAAGTGGAGAGAAGTTTCCTACATCTAAAAATTAGTAAGATAAAGATAAGTCACCCCATTCTACATAAAAGCAGACAACTCAATAAAAAAGTTGTTCTGTTACCATTTTGTCTTGTAAAAACTTGCTTCAGATTAATACTACCACTTCCCAAATTCCATATTTGTCAGACACAAATGAAGTTCTCTTTCTGCACTAATCTGTATATTCTGCTGTGTTTTGGAAGTTCAATCCACACTGATCTGAATCACTTTCTTTCTTCTGTAAACAGTCGGTGATCTGAATCATCTAATATCTGCAACAATGTCCGGAGTAACATGCTGCCTAAGATTCCCTGGCCAACTCAATTCTGATCTCCGCAAACTTGCTGTCAACCTCATTCCTTTCCCTCGCCTTCACTTCTTCATGGTGGGTTTCGCTCCCCTGACCTCACGTGGATCCCAGCAGTACCGGTCTTTGACAGTTCCAGAGCTCACCCAACAAATGTGGGATTCCAAGAACATGATGTGCGCGGCTGACCCAAGACATGGCCGTTACTTGACAGCCTCAGCTATGTTCCGCGGAAAGATGAGCACCAAGGAAGTTGATGAGCAGATGCTAAATGTCCAGAACAAGAACTCTTCCTACTTTGTTGAGTGGATTCCCAACAATGTCAAGTCCACTGTATGTGATATCCCTCCCACAGGCCTCAAAATGGCGTCAACTTTCATTGGCAACTCAACGTCGATACAAGAGATGTTTAGGCGAGTGAGTGAACAATTTACTGCTATGTTTAGGAGGAAGGCGTTTTTGCATTGGTATACTGGGGAAGGAATGGATGAGATGGAGTTTACTGAGGCAGAGAGCAATATGAATGATTTGGTGTCAGAGTATCAGCAGTATCAAGATGCAACGGCTGATGAAGAGGGAGAGTATGAGGAGGAAGAAGAGGGAGAATATCAGGACTAGCATGTTGATGGGTGTGGGTTTATGGGGGACTTTCTGTGTAATAGTAGCAGTAGCTCACTGTTAACAGTGGTTGTAACCTCAACTTCCAGTTTTTTGCTTTTTTGTTTCAATTTGTAGGAAGATATTGGGTTACTGGGTATTAATATTGTCATCCTTTTTAATACTGGGTTATTATTTATTTCTCTGAAATATCATTCTGTTATGGAGCCCATTTACATTGTGTGAGGCAAGCAATTGTTTAAGATCCTTTCAAAAACCATTTCAAAAATAAAAAATCGAAAGGTTATCACCAATGCCTTGCCTAGCTGTGTTAATTTTGATGTGTGTGTAGTGAACTCATTTTCATAAAAATTTGCCAACCTATACGAGGTGTAATTTTCTACTTGGATAGTTTGGTTTGTTTAACAATCGCTATGTTTGGTTTATAGATTTGGTTTATAAAAATAGTCATAAAATAAATAAAATAAATTAAAAAGTGAATAAAATAAAATTTCATATTTAAATTATAATCATTTTATTTTTTCTTTCATGAAACTCACAAAAATAAAAAAAAAATCAATCCAAACGAAATTTTTACAGTTAGACTAAAATAGGGAGTGCTCTGGGGAGAACGGGGTTATAGCTCCTGGAGATTAGGGTTTCACATGGCCAAGACTCACTGGACCAACGTCTCTTATGAAATTACCAAGATCAACCTCTACAAGGTCTCTCTCTCTCTCTCTCTCTCTCTCTCTCTCGTGCTTTTTATTACTTAAATTGGTTTTTATGTTTATTCTATTTGTGGGTTTTGTAGGATGGTAGGCGTGCCAAGGCCTGGGGAATTCATATTCGGTTTCATTGTGTGAGGCAAGCAATTGTTTGAAGTGTTCTATGAGGTTCCATTGTGTGAGGCAAAAATTCATATTCGGTTTCATTTTTTTCTTTTTGAAGTGTTCAATTCATGTTTGGTTTATGAGAAAATGGAGAAAAAAGCGCAAAGAAATATGAATTTTTGCAAGTGCTATGGTTCTTCTTGTTTTGTAAACCCCTCCTCCCAAACACTATAGAAAAATGAAAGAAGGAATCAAAAAAAAGAGAAGCATTTAGGTTGTATATGAATTAAGTGATGTGTATCTATGAGGTTCAAAAACCATAATGTGCTCAGCTAGACATGAAGATATAGTTATGCGGTACTATGTTTGCCAATAGAAATCAAAAGAAAATTCAGTCCTGTACAAGGCATATCTCATGAACCACCTCTTAAAAGTCATTTCCTTATATTGGTTCTCTCCGGACCTTTGGCAGATGATAATTATTTTAGTGGTCCTATATGCGTGAATTAGTAATCCTTATTGATTACAACTCTGGTGGTGAATAGGGTGGATAGTGAATGAATGAATAGCTCTGGAACCCTTACAATTTTGTGGATTCTCAAGTGGGTTTCAATGAGTTTGGCAGGGGAGAAACTTGTTTGGAGTAAAAGCCTTCGTTTGTCACCCATTTGTGATGAGATTGTTGAATAGGAGCCATTTTTCACTGATCCTGTATGTTGAGGCCATATGCTAATCATGAGATTTTGAAGCAGTGTGTTGGTAACTCTTGGTATCTTTATTTACATAAACAATGTTACTAGGCCTGGGTTGATTATCAATAAGTTATACATCCAGTTGCTTCTATAGAAGTCTTAGTTTGCAGGTCACGATCTCCATTAGAATGACACAAAGGAAAATTTCCATTGAATGTCATGGACCCGAGAATACAGTTGAAAGCTTCGGTTCAAGTGCAAGATTGGATGGGACACAAAATTTTGCAAATTAGGACCTGACTACTTGTCCGTTGGGAACATTTAATCCCATGTATGGCGTGGGTGGGATGATCTTGGCATTTGATCCCATGGTAGTCGAGGAATTGGATGTCGTGGGACATTCGATCCCTCATAACCCTATCCGTGAAACAAACATGCCTAAGTTCAAAGGAGTTTGAGAAAGATATTTGGCACTTGGATCATGTTGATTTCATAAAAGAAAATGAGGACGACTGATGCTTGGAGGAAACATGCCACTCTAGAAATCGAGTATGGGAGTTTGCAGCAATCATTGTGAGTGTCATGACTATATAAGAATTTATTTATTTGATCTCTAATTTGAGGACATAGGAAGTTGAAGAATTTGAAGAAAGGCATTTTTGTAAGGCTTTGAAATGAATACAATATGAAAGTTGTTTTTTTTAGATATATTGGAATTCAAACATCCAAACAGGGACTAAGCCCTTTTCTTATGGTTAAAAGCTAGCTTTTTGGCTTTTTTCATTGTTTCATGTGAGAGATGATGTGACCCAAAATGGGTTAAAAGTTGGCTTTAGCTTTTTATGCATGTTGCCAAAACAGCCCTAAGCCCACCATGTTTGAAACCAAGAGAGCTCTGATTTCAACAGGTAGGTCATTTACAACGAGAATATCCTCAGGTTGATCAACTCCAAGCTTGGCTAATGCGTCTCCACACAGATTTCCTTCTCTGTAGACGTGTTGTGCAGTGCATTGACAGCCATTGAAAATTATTCTTGCATCTTCCAGTAAGCCTCTGAGAAGGTGTTTTTCTCTAGGTCCCTCTCTTTAAGCAGTTTCACCACTTCCTCTGCATCTGTTTCGATTATCACGTTGTTGAAGCCTTTTTGGAGGATAATGGTGAGGCCTTTGTACACAGCCCATAATTCTGCCTCGAGGCTGGTGCAGTTCTCAAGTCTGCCATAGAAGCCACAAATCCATGCTCCCTTTTCATCTCTGATCAGTCCCCCAAAATCTCCGGGTCTGGCAATTCTGTAACAGCCATCAATGTTCAACTTGAGGGTACCTGAAGGAGGAAAAATTCACTTGATTAGCATAAGTGTTGGTCTTGGATTAGTAACAGACGGCTGAAAGCTTGGTTGATTTCTCTAGAAAATTCTGAAATATATTTGACACTCTCAAAAGTACTAATTTTGTTTTGAAAGATTCTTGGAGTTTTTGTTTTTCCAAATTTGCCATAACAACTGAAAACATAATGTATCAAGCAGTATTGTTACCAATACTGTTATTCTTTTTTAAGTTACATAAAATCCAGTTCCTCCAAGATGAATTTCTCGTCTCAAGGTACCAATTTATGATGAAAACAACCATCCACACAATCTTAGCTTTAGAGCAATTTTTAAAAAGATGATCCAAATCTTCCATCTTATTGCAAAAAAGGCAGGATAGGTTTTTAGTCAACTCTCTCTTCACCCTCATTCAATTTGTCAGAAGCTTTCCATGGAGCACAACCCAAAGGAAGCACTTAATCTTTTGAGGAATTTTACATTTCCAGAGCCACTGCCACTTTTTACTTTGGTCATCATGCTCCATATACAGTTTGTAGGCACTAGATGTTGAGAAGTACCCATCCAGAGATCCTTTCCAGTGTGGCTGATCCATGATTGGATTGTAAAGAGGGGGGTTTTTTCTCTAAAAATAGCTTCAGCCACACTAGTTGGGAAGCTCTGGTTAATAGTATTCACATCCCAATCACCTTCATCATTAAGGAGAGTATTCACCTTAATTAACTCAGAACCAACATTAGGGGGAATTAGGGAGCGGGGAACAGTTTCTTCCAGTGGGTTTCTCACTACACCACCAATCACTCCATAGATTGACATTAGAGTTGGCACCAATGGACCATCTAACACCTTTTTTCAAGATGTTTTTGGTTTTTGCTATACTTCTCCACACATGAGAAGCCTTCTTTCTTCTATTCCAGTTGCAAAGATTGGAATAGTTGAGATGTTCGGCCTTAAGAACTTTAATCCACAAGCTATTCTCATTGTTAAGAATTTTCCATCCAAGTTTGGAGAGCAGGGAAATATTGTGCTCACTAGCTTTCTTGATTCTCAGCCCCCCAAGTTTTTTCGTTTACACACATCATCCCATTTAAGAAGATGAATTCTTTTCTTGTCCATAGTATCCCCCCAGAGGAAGTTTCGATTGATGCAATCAATATCGTTACACACCCACTTGGGGATTACCATGGTTTGCATGGAGTACGTTGGAATTGCAGGGGTAACAGATTGAATCAAAGTTGTTCTTCCTGCCATAGACAGGACTTTCATCTTCCACCCAACCAGCTTGTTTTGCATTTGTTCCAAAATAAAATAAAATTGGTTTCGGTTAGCTCTCTGATGTAAAATAGGGACTCCCAGATACCTCCCCAGATCAGAAGTAATAGGAATATTACAGAGGCTACTCAACTCCCTAGCCTTTCTTCTGTCAATGTTAGGTGACACAAAAAGCTTTGATTTCTGGAAATTGATTTTAAGTCTGGAAATGGAGCTAAACTCTTCCATAACTTCAGCAATCAAATCACAATGTCTGGAGTCAGCCTTAGCAAATAGAATGAGATTATTTGCAAAGAACAGGTGAGTAATGCAAGGCCCTCCCTTCTAGCTTTCCTTATCAGCCAAATGGCTAATCATGTTGGATAGCCTTCTCATACAAAGCACAAATAGATAAGGGGATAAAAGATCTCTTTGTCTTAGATCCTTCATGGGTCTAAACTCCTTTAACGCTTCCCCATTCCACAAAATGGCAGACTACACTGTTGTGACACAACACATGATAAGATCAATCCACTTCTCATTGAAATTAAACTCATGAAGAGTTTCTCTAAGAAAGGGCCAAGATAAGTTGTCATAAGCCTTCTCAAGATCAATTTTCATGACCATACTACCAGTTTTGCCTTTCATATTTCTCATAGAGTGTATAGCTTCTTGAGTAATAATAATGTTCCAGGGATAAAGCTGCTCTGATTACGTCTCCCAATATCATCAAGAAGAGGTCTAATTTGATCCACCAAAATTTTTGTAATGACTCTGTAGGTCACATTACAGAGACTGATGGGTCTGAATTGTTTCACCCTCTTAGGGCTATTAACTTTAAGAATGGGTGCAATCAGAGTTCTATTGATCTCCTTAGGAATAGAGTTGGTAGCGAAGCAATTTTTTACAAAGGAACACACATCAGTACCAACAATGTTCCAGTACTTATGGTAGAAGACAGCCTGAAAGCCATCCCTTCTAGGAGCTTTAAAGGCTGTAATATTGTTCATAGCTTTCTTGATCTCAGTATCAGTGATATCCCTATTTAAGTCTCTATTATCCTCCTCAGACAACTTAGCAAAAGCTTTATTACACCAGTGGTCTAAAGAGTTGGCAGTAGGGTTTTCAAACAATTCTTTTGAAATAGTTTAAAACCATGTTTTTGAGCTCAGAGGGATCATCAATCCAAACATCATTATTGTTTTTAAGAACCTCAATTTTAAGTCTTCTTCTCTTGATCAGGGAAAATTGAAGAAGTGTATTGTTTTTCATTAAAAAAGTCTTGCTTTCATTGACTTCACAGTTTTGGCTTTGCGAATACTGACCTTATAGTACAGATTTCCTGACAATTTTTGAATTGGTAAATTTATATTTTAATTGGTTATCCTGCACCAAAGCTTCAGCTATGAAACCCATAAGGTTGATCTTAATTATAAAGTGATTGATTAAAAAGTTTGAAGCCTCCATGAGGTTTCTTTTGGAGTAGTAGGATGGGAAATTTGTCAAATAGCAAGGAAGAAGCCTAGAAGAACAATCAACACACGACTCCCAAGGATCATGGGAATCCAAAATTAGGCAGCGGAGTTCATGTAAGATTCAGAGTACAGTCATGAGATAGTTACTACTGATGGCGAAGGAAGCCAAATAAAATTTGTCAGAATTTTATTCCATCAAGGAGGGACCTGATCGCATAAGTTTTGGCTGAAAATGTCTTTCTAGATAGAGTGGAGTGGCGATTTGAGATTTTTGTTTAGCAAATCATTTAGCTAAACAGTGTATATTCGTTGTGTATGTTAGGTATACTACTTAGTTTCTCTACCAGTTATCTCGGTTTATAGATTGGTAGTAGCTGAACTACAATAATTACTTAACAATTTTACTGGCTTTGATAAGATTTTGCACTAGTAAATTAAGTTAATCTGTATGCTTCCTGAATTAACAGTAAGTGAATTACATAGGTTTGCCAGCTGCAGAAAACAAGAAAATTAGCAGAGTTCACAAGCACTGTTGGAGATACGTTCCAAACTCAAAGGGCACTGAAGAAAGCACTCCAAAACTAGAAGTTCGAGCAGCTTGATATGCCATTTTGTTAATGGTTGACTGGCCTGTCATACATACTGGGATGTCATTCATTTTGCTCCAAGGTGTGCTATATTATTGAGTTGCAGTCATTGGGAGAGTTTAGTTAAATAGATAGTTCTCCCCAGATCCGGTTTTACTGAGAGTCTCATACTCTAAGCTCCCTTTTTAGATAATATTCGTTGGATCAGGTTTTTAGTTCTGGATGACATGTAGTTTTCATGGGAAATTCATTGATTAGTGGTTATGATCTTCTAACTTGGAAGGTCAATCAGGGAGTTGCAATGATATTTTCACTCTTTTTACCTTTGTTTTGTTTGTTTCTGTTTTCTTTTTTTGTATTTCTTCCTTACCCTGGTTCTATTTTGCATCTCTCTTCCTTTGTAATAAAAAAAAAGGTCTTCTTTATGAAAACAACGAAAATTATTTAATGGGTCTTGGAAGTATAATGGTGATATGTGCACACGATACTCCCAGCCAATGATGTTTTGAATGTACGATGAATGATTTTTTTCTTCCATCCGGCTAACCAAGGTGGGTTAAGTTACTTTCATCAATTTTATGACTACTATCTCTTACTTGTTTGAGAACATATTTTACTTGGTTTTGTACTATATTAAAAAAATTACTCTTAAAAATGACGACAAATTTGGACCATTGGTGGTTTTTTATTATTTTTTTTAAAAGCTAAGAAAAGATAGAGAGACTTGAAATCTGGAGTACATGACCTTCCAAACACGTCCCCTCCCCATCATATAGTGGCGGCCAAAAGAATAAATTTCTACAATTGGAGATGACTTTTCTGTTGGTGATCCAAATGGTGAGCAGTGTTGGATTTGGTGGGCTCATTGCAAGACTTATTTGGTGATATAAATTATTTATTTTGTAAGAATAATTGAAAAAATAATTTTTATGAAAATCAGATTTAATCAAATAATTGTAGTTACATAAGTTGATTTGATATCCAATAGAAGATGTTCAAATTTGAAAAATGATACATATATATATATATATATATATATATTATGTTGGATTTGTGTTTACCCGATAAGTGTGCCACTAAATCTGTAAATCATAAATTTTAATTTTGATTTAAAAATACATATGTTATGTATAGTTGAAGGGGTAAAGATGTTTTTGAGATCTAATGTCTCATGAGTTCAAGCCTCATTTACTTCATTATATAATTTTTTACACCATGAGAAATTTTCACATATTAATAGTATAGATAGATAGACATAGTAGGGGTGGCCATCGATTGGGTTAGGTCTTTGCTCGGGTTGGGCCTAAGTTAGAAAAAATAAAGAAATCTTGTGTCCAAGTTTAGTTTACTTGACATCGGCCCTAAAAATTTAATCCCAACTCTGATTCCTAAATTACATTACAATAAATCAATATATTAAAAAAACTACATTAAATAAAATAAAAAATAATATTTTGTAGTTAAGTTGGCACAAACAATTCATTTTTGTTTATTCACACTTCAGTGTCTTTTTTTCAATTTAAAAAAAAATAAAATTAAAAAATATTTATCATGACTGGTTAGACTTGTAAATTATTCCCAAACCTAATCTAATTAATAAATGGATTTAAAAAGGACAAATTACACTAACAGTCCCTGACTTTTCAATTGTGACACATTTGACCCTAAATTTTGAATCTTGTTCCAAATAAGGACAATTGAATTTACTATTGCTTAATTTCAAGGATAAAATCGTCAATTTGATAAAATATAAACTAATTTTACAAAAATAAATGTCAAAAAAATATTTTAAAATTTTTAAAAATTATTTCTACCCACTAAAAATAAAATTATGTAAAATTGATAAAAATTACATGATTAATTTTTAAAAATTAATCTTACATGATCATCATCCAAATACACAATAAAAATTAATTTGGAAAGAAAAAAAAATATTTAAAAGATTTATCAATTTTATATAATTTTATCTTTAGTAGGTAGAAATAATTTTTAAAAATTCAAAAATAGTTTTTTGACATTTATTTTTGTCAATTTATATTTATATTTTATCAAATTGACGATTTTACCCTTGACAAATCCAATAGTATCTTCAATTGTCTTTATTTGGAACAAGATTCAAAATTAAGGGTCAAATGTGTCACAATTGAAAAGTCAGGGACCAAAATGACACAAACCCCAAACTATAGGGACTATTAGTGTAATTCACCCATTTAAAAATTTAGTGCCGTTTTGACAACCTACAAAAAAAGCTGCGTTTTGCCATTTGCTCAAAAACGCCAAGCTTGGCCAAAACACTGAAAATCCCATTTGGGAAGACCTAAAAAAGCAACACCCAAATTTACCAAACTACCCTCTAGAACATTTTAATTAATTAATTCAAAAATCAAAAAGTAAGGATATTTTGGTCATTTTGGCGTGATGTGATACTTTTAAAAAATATTAAACCAAAAATCAAAAAAGTCAGCTTTTTATCAACTTTCCAAATCACTTCTAAAAAAGTCAAAAAGCTTGGTAAAAAGTCGAAAGTCAGCTTTTTATCAACTTCACAAAACACCCCTTAGTCTAATTCGATCCAATAAACTTAAATATCAATCTTCAACTCTTAAAAATGCAACAACAATGATTCATCCCACTAAAAATATCACCACTAATAACACTAATGCATTAAAAAAGTAAAAAAAAAAAAAAATACAACTCCAAGACCAAAATATCAAATCATTAATGACGGAACCCACTGCCACCTAATTAGTGGGAGCACTAATTAGTGCTCCCAAGCATTTTTCAAAATGCAATGAGTTGGATTGGCCAGCGAACTCGAATCTTTCCCTGACTCAAAAGTAGAGCCGCCCTTGCATTATATACACCAAGAAGAAACCATAAAAATGATTTACATTGAATACAAGAAAACTTGTTCTTGCCAAGTGTCCAGTTGTTCCCATAATTTACAAAGAACATCTAAAATGAACAAACAAATCATTAAAAAAAAAAAAACTAACCTAAGACGGTTTTGTTACGATCAAAACAACGTGTCAAATACTATTATTCTCGTTATTGTCTATAATGTCATTTTATATTAATTTTCACTAATCTCTCTCCTCTATATAAGCACACCACTTTCTATATCCCAAATGTGCCATACAAAACATTTTCCACTTCCATTCTTCAACATCTCTGAAAGACTCAACATTTTGTTTCAAAGCATCAAATTCTTCACAGAGAAAAATGGCAATGATCCTTTTCCTTGTTTTCTCTCTCTTCCTCCAAGGAGCTCTAGGTAATCCACAACCACAAATCTTATTTTATTTATATCTTGCATAACTTTAACCAAAATAGTGTTGGAATTATTCAATAATCTTAGCACATCAACTCAACAAACTAATATGATAGCACCTTTCAACTGATGACGGTTTTTATTTTTGCTTTTGGACAAAATAGGGTTTTGTCTCCTTCAGTGACCTCCCACTTCTATGATTTAAATTGCTTATATTGTAAAGTTTACTGAGTAGATTATTCATGCAAAAATTCAAATTGTTCATATCATATATTAAACATAATTTATAAAATAGATTATTTAATTTTTTAAGACAAATATAATCCGAAGATGAGGTTCTTAATATCTTATCATTTTGAGTTTTTACATAAATATGACTACTCAGTTAACTTTATAAAATAAAGTCTCACCAAAGGGAACAACAACGTCTCCCAATCATCATTGTCACACTAACAAGAGCACTAATTCCAGAATGGATGGATGGATCCGACTAAACCGACCTTGGATGGCCAAATCCGCTCCAACCATCTCTTTTTGCTCGAACTCGTTAGTAGATGGAGATTACCAACCATCTTAGAACTACTAAATAATTTTTCATTAGGCTATTTATTTTTAACGTTAAACATCATGGGATATTCTATGTAGGTGATATTGTATGTGAGGAGTTGCCGGTTGGAATGTGCACCTTCTCCATCGCCTCTTCGGGGAAGCGATGCCTATTAGAGACTCAGACACCGTCGTCGAATGGAGGCACCGAGGCGGCATACCAGTGCAAGACATCAGAGGTGGTTGTGAAGAACATGCCAGAGTGGATTGAGAGTGAGGAGTGCATTAGTGCATGTGGAGTTGATAGATACTCAGTTGGGAAGATCTCATCGGATTCACTCATCGAGCCTCAATTCACCTCCAAGCTCTGTGCACCTGCCTGTTACCAAAACTGCCCTAACGTTGTTGATCTCTACTACAACTTGGCTTTGGCTGAAGGTGATATGCTTTTCCTTTAACTCATCATACTTTTTGTACTCTAACTATATCATCAAATCTGTGTCAAAAAAGTAGAGACAAAATTTTTACCAAATGAAAATTAAACATATCCTTTACCAAAAAATTTTATTTTATTTTTATAATTAAAAAGGATTGAAATAGGTTTTTAGGACAAGTTTTAAAAAATTTAAAAAGATTTAATGATTTTTTTTTTTTTGGGGGTAGGGATTGGAGTGTTCCAAATCAAATCAAGCTTTAAATTAAATTTTCATTAAAATTTGATGACAAAAAAAAGAAACAAAAGAAAAAAGAGTAAAGATTAAAGATCCTCTAATAATATCGTATTTAGGTGTAACAGTATTGCAATAGTACAATATAGTTAAAAAATATACTTTCTCCAACGTCATAGTATATGCTTTGTAACACTTAAGGGTTGTTTGGAATGATCTAAATAAGTGTACTCTTTGACTTTTTATGAAATATGAATTGATGTGACTTAAATAGGATAGTGACTTTTTAACTTTTTGTCTTTTTTCAAACATACCAAACTTGGCTTTAGCCATTTTATGTGCCAAATTTAGCACAAAGAGTAGCATATTGCTATTTTATCCTACACCTTGACTAATTATAAATTATTATTATTTTACTGTTGAAAAAAGTACATCTATTGATTTATTATTTGTGTGTGTGTGTGTGTGTGTGTTGGGAGAGGGATAAAATTACATGGATACCGTTAGTTTAATTTATCATTAATTACAATTATGTTAAGTAAATGAGAGTTAATTATACATAAATAAATTATGATGAATTAAATATAAAATTTAAATTTAAATCCATGAACAAACCCATTTATTTAATTTGTAATTTTTTACTTAAATAAATATATTAAAGATTTATTACTAAAAATTTGTGACAGATAACAATATAAAATACTACACTGTTAGAGCATCAATGCCATTTTAACACAATAAATACTGCTAAAGCAACTTGTAACAAATTCAATTCATATAATAGCGCATCAATGTCATTTTAACACAATAAATACATTCTGCTAAAGCAAATCAATGCCTTTTTAATGCAATAAATACCACGTACTGCTAAAGTAACTTGTAACAAATTTTTATAATAGTACACTTTTACTATACTAAAATAACTCAAAAAATATTTAATTGAGTTTTTTCATCTAAACAAGACGATGATATATCTTCTAGAGTATGATGTTATTCAATAATTGTCTTTTACTTTTAAACAAAATAACAAAAAAATTCTTAAAGATATTTTTATTTACAAAATGAAAATGACACATGAACAATACAGGAACATCTTTACCGGAGTTGTGCAAGATTGAGCAAACCAATCCACGCCGTGCAATGATACAGATTTCAAGTTCCGGTTCAGCTTCCGGTCCAGTCTCTGCTGCAGCTTTTGGTCCGGCCTCTACTGAATCCCTTGCTTGTTCTCCAGCTTCTATTTAATCAATTGTCACAAATACATAATACATTTCCAATCCAGCAGATCAATTAAGTTACTTTTGTTTAGTAACATTTATATATATATATACATGTATATCATATGTGTGAAGTAATACTTGAGAGAGAGAATGTATTATGTTGTTTGGAATTTCACTTTTTGGAAAAAAAAAAAAAAAAAAAAGGAAAAAAGAAAGAAAAAAAGAAAACAGTTTTCAAAAATGGAAATTAGGGGCATTAGGGGCAAATATTTTAGGGCCACCAATCATTTTCCTTGTCACAAATACATAATACATTTCCAATCCAGCAGATCAATTAAGTTACTTTTGTTTAGTAACATTTATATATATATATATACATGTATATCATATGTGTGAAGTAATACTTGAGAGAGAGAATGTATTATGTTGTTTATGATCAATTGGAATAAGATTTATTTTTTGTTACAAGATGAGATCATTGCCTGCATATCATATCACTTTTGATTTCTAATAATTAATATTCTCAATGGATTTCACTAATTAATTGGTTAATTTTTTTAATTGTCAAGAAAAGTACATAGAAACTCTATGAAATAACGGTGGTGCGTACATGCACTAATTGATTTACCAATTAGTGTACCAACATATGTTATGATATTATTATTGACTCTACCCATTATACAAATTACAAATACTTAAAATCTCTAAAATTATCTTACATCATCTGTTAGTACACTAATTGATATATCAATTGATGCATATAGTATTATTCATAAAATAATCATAATAAAAGGATAGAGGTGAAAGTCAGGCGATTTGGGCTCAATGCAAGACCTATCCAAGTCCAGCCCAAGTGCTTCTCAGGTTTTCCTAGCCCATCCACGGTGGGCTTGTAGGCCTGAGATATTTATCGTAAGCCCGTTTCAATCTCAATAAATTTAGTTTGGGTTATGCTCAAATTGTTCACAAAAAAATGGATATTATTCTTAATTTTTTATTTTACCTTTGTTGGACTAGAAGTCTTGAAATAATTTTTTTGTAGACTAATCATGACGTATTCTAACTTGTTTTCGAATATTCATAAACAATAATGCTTGAGACCACTAAAAGTAATGCTCTAATAGCACCACTAGTGATGTGGTAGTGGACGAGACCCACTGCTTGTGTTTTGTTGAGAGAAGAGAAGAGAGAGAGTGTAAGAGACCACCTAATTTAGGTGACCTAAACAATAAACATATATATAATATTCAAAGACTCTTTACAGCTGTAACATATATATATATAATATATATTCAAACATATATATATATATATAATATATATATAATATTCAAAGACTCTTTGACAAAGAGAGGAGCTTACAGCTGTAACCAAACCAAACATATATATATATATAATATGTAAATCGGGGATAACCGGGGCGGGGGGCGGGGTCGGGGCCGGGCCGGGGTCGGGGATGAAATATATATCACCGTCCCCGGCCCGAATATCACCGGGGATTTGTTTTTAAATACCATCCCCGGCCCGTCGGGGGTATTTTTCGGGAAAAAACCATTCTTATCGGGGACGGGGGGTCGGGTCCCTGTCGGGCCGGGTTGAAATTGCCATCCCTAGTTTGGATTGCCAAATTCTTTGTCCTGATCCAGCTTGAAGTTTAAAACACCTAAAAAAATTTAATTCAGACCAATCTTATTGTTTAATATATCTTATCCAAGTTTCATCTCTTAGATATATTACACCCAAAAATGCTTGAACCTCTAATTAGAGATATCACTAGTGATGTGGCAGTGAATCTCACCCATTGCCACTGTCAATATTGTGTCTTTTTTTTTTTCCTGTTCCTTTTCCACCTCATTAGATGTGTGTTTAAGGCCTCTAATTTAGGGGTTTCTAACCTCACTGAATTAGACCCAAGAATTAAACTTAGTGGGGCCCAAGGATGTGTATGAACTAACTAACATGAATTTGTATCAAATTAATTTGAATAATGTATATGTAACCATTAGTACACTAATTAGTGTGTCAATTGATGATGTGACATAATTTAAGAGATTTTTGATATTTGTAATTTGTATAATGAGTAAGGTCAATAATAATGTCATAACTATTATTAATTGATACATGTAACACCACCGAAGAATTAATTTTATCTAACCCACAATTTTATATTAAAAAAATTGTTAACATTTTCCACAAGTTTTCCTGAAAAATTATGCAAATCAATTGTTCATTTGCCTAACATTTACTTAGGGTTGGTTTGGAGTGTCCTAAAAAAGTACACTTTTTATCTTTTTACAAAAAGATGTGCAAAAAAATAAAAAGATGATGTGATAAAAAAAAGATAAAAAGATGAATTATATAGATTATGCCAAACCAAACCTTAGTTTAATGGACATGTCGACATTTTTATTTGCGAGCATTAACATACCCACGTCCTCTTCCTCTCAACCCATGATATTATTTTATTATGGTGCACATACAATCTATTTAGTTCTATTTTGGAAATTGACTTTTTTTTTTTAATTTATTGATTTATTATAAAAAAAGCTTGTAAAAAAGTAGGGAGGTGACATGACTCAAATAAGCAAATAAGCTAATAAGCTAGTGTGTGTTTTTTTTTTTTTTTTTTTTTCCAAAATTTTTTTTTTTCCAAAAAGGCCTAAGGTGTTTGGATTTATTTATTTTTATTTTTAGTGAATTTAAAATTTTTTTTTTTCAAGAAATGTTAAACTTTTAGATTCTATTAAGCTAGATGTACCAAAAAAGTAAAAGAAAAAAATAAATTTGAAAAAAGCCAGATTTTTGGCTTATTTTTTTTTCTTTTTAGATTGGTCCACACAAGATGAACTAAAAAAATTTTTAAAAAATAAACTTTTGAAGAAAAATTACTAAAAATAAAAACAATTCAAAAAAAGTAATAGTAATAATTTAACATAATTTTAAGTTGTTCTCATACACCGTGAAAAAATCAATTGGAAACAAGTTTTGGTTTGCATTGCATTTGCTGTGGAACACTTACATTGTTGTTTAAGCTCCACAGACCTCTTAAGTGCTCTCAAATCCAACCCAAGTATTATTGGAGGAGGAAAAAGATCATTTAACAACAAAGACAACAAGTATACTGGAGGAGGAAAAAAAATATAAAGGAAAAGATTGGGACTTACAATTTAAATATTACAATATGATAATTTATGTGTCGATTTTTAAATTATCACAAATTGAAGTAAAATTCAATTCCGTTATTATATCATTGTGGGTGAATTATTAAATCTTATAAATTGCTAGGATTTTTCAAAAAAATTTACTATTTGTCTTAAATATAGCTGCTATATTCAGGGGTGGAGACACGTGAAACCGAGGTTAACTTTTAGAAAATTATACTTTTGCATCTTGTAAAAAAAAATTGTTTCAATTTAAACCTTTCAAGTAATGTTGTGAAATTTTTATATCACTATTTTTTTTTTTGGTATTTACACACAAGTCATAATTTATAAATTTATACTTCATTAAATTCTAACTAAAATTTTTTAGACCTTCAAGTCCCATTAAATTTCTACGACTCCGCTATATAGCTCGAAAACGATCCCCCTAAATCGCTCGAAATTAAAAAAGGTGATTTTTGAATGTTTGGCCTAGTTGCAACATTGGTCAATTGACACCATGCGCGAGAAATAGAAGAAAAGAGGGAAGAGGAGAGAGAGAGAGGAACCGGTTGAAGAAGAATAGGTGAGAGCGACCACCGCTGAGATCGACCGGTGCTGACACTACCGACCTGGGTGACCACCGACGAGCAGTAAAAAACTTTGCCGAGCTTGCCATCCGGAAATCTCTGCCCACCGTCAATGGGAAAACTTGAAAGCCTGTCACTGTTCTTTCTAACCACCTCAGTGTCTCAATTTTATTTCTGAACAAACTAGATGAACTAATCAAAGCATCATCAAAATATCTCATTTCTTTTGGAAAAGTTGCGGAGAGATGATATTGAGAACAAAGAGATGTTCATTTCAATTTGGCTTTCATGAATATCTAAAATGTCTGCAGCTGAGTTCTGGAGTTTTGATTGTATAGGTGGAATTGCTTTAGGATTATGTCAAAGCTAGTTTAATTATGTCCTTTAATTTTTACTTTTAAGCTATTTGATTTGTAACATTTTTTATTCCTGATTCTGTCTGCAAATCTTTTTTTCACTTGCATTTCTTTTTAATTGTAGAGGACTTGTGCGATATGTCTAACAACCATGAAACCAGGCCACGGCCATGCCATTTTCACTGTAGAATGCTCCCACTCATTCCACTTCCATTGCATTACTTCTAATGTAAAACATGGAAACCAAATTTGCTCTGTTTGCAGCGCAAAATGGAAGGCAATACCATTTCAGAATACTTCCGATATTTCAAAAGAAAATGAGCTAAGAAGATCATATTATGCCCATATTTACATCAACAACATATTCCTTGAATCCTAGCTCCGAATGAGAGACGGGTTTCATAAACGAGTTGAATTGCGGTCCGACTGTTGAATTGCTTCTTTGAATGATATGGGTTTGCAAATAGTTGAATCGCGGCTATGGAGGATTTGAAGAGTTGAGAGAGTGTTGGGAATGAGAGAGAGTGTTGGGGATGAGATGAGATGGAAAATGATTTTTTTTTTTGGATTCGAGTTGTTCAGGGGTACAAAATTCGAGTCGAAAATCATTTTCCAAATTTTTAATAGTTGAAATTGCCCTTCAAAAATGATTGTTCATTATTTATAATTATCTATAAAGGAACATTATGATTTGACATTTATTTTGATCTTCAAAACTTTAAAATATCAACTTTTAAATTGAAAAAAGTAAAAAGAAAATTATGAGTGAAAAAAAATTGAATTATTTTTTTGTGCAAAACTGAAAATTTGTGTCTATAAAGGAGCATGATGATGGAACATTGATGCGCAAAATTTAAAAAAAAATAAAAATGAAAAAACAGATAATGCTCTCAGTTTTAAAATTGAAAAAACTATTAATATTCTCAGTTTTATTTGATAGTTGAATCAAACAAATAAATAGAAGGGCAAAAATGTTTAATCTCATGCTTTGTTTTTTTTATTAGTTAGTGAAATAATTATCTGGAACATTACTATGCAAAATTGATACAATGTTCTTAGTTTTAAAAATTGGAAAAAAATGGTAATATTATCAATTTTACTAAATAGGACTTATAGGTTCAAAAAATCTTAAATAGGATCTGAGTTACCATAATATTTGTAAATAAGACTTTTAGGTAATTAATTCATTTTTCATTTTTACCTTATATGTGTGTGTGTGTGTGTGTGTGTTTTTGTGTGTTTAATTTGTCACTTTATGGCTATGTTTGGCATGTGATTTTGGGGCTATTTTAGCCACAAAAAGAAAAAATAGGCTAAAAAAGTCAATAAGACAAAATGTCACATTCAAATCATAATTATTTC